CGTCGCCTTCTAACCCTGGCACGACCATCGTGCATGCCTAAACAAAATCGAGACTCGTCACTAAAGACAATACTGTTCCATTCCTGATCCCAGAGTGACCGTTGTCTGCACCACTCAGGGTGATTACGTCGGTGTTCTCGAGTTAAAGGGAGGACTCAGTGTGGCCGGTATGAAAACAAGCCAAAACTTCTCATTCGTCGGTAAACACTTCACATGCCAATAGGTCTTCCGTGTTCTGCAAACCATTCATTTGCAATGGACCTGGTAGTGGAGAAACGGTCCCTTAAGGGCAATAATCTTAGGCGGCGATCTTCACGGTCTGTTGTTCTACGGCGGCGTCCAGTGCCCCTTGCTCTTTGCGTACGGCCTTCTGGAAGCCATGCCTGACAACACCTAACCACAGTGTCTACACTTCTTTGTACTCTTAACTGCAATTGCCCGAAAAGAAAGTCCAGCTTCCCGAAGTCCCACTATACGGCCCCTATCAAACTTACTAAGTTGACGAAATCGTACAGGTCTCCGTACTGTAGGCATCGTAACCGATCGTAAAGGATGTCAAGAACCAAAATCCGCCAACGTTGATTCTTTACTGCGGCTGAAATATTCATTTTTAGAGCGCTAGTGAATTAAAAAAAAGCAGTACAAAAACCGGAATGTCCAACTGATAAGGCTGAAAATTTTTTCACTTGTTATTTACAGTAAGATAAATACATTCACCAACTTTTATTAAAAAAACCATTTAAACTGGGTGTTCGGATTTATATGTCACTTAGTATATATGCTATCATAAACTCAAGATTTCCTCCCCCAACTCTCTACAACCCTCACCCCCAATTTTTTAGTCCTAACATTTTTTTTATAAATTATTAGTATTCTCTGAACCTTCGACGTCGTAGGTACCTGGGACCGCTGCTGATATTCGTTCCTAATTTTTCCCCATACTATCTGTCGTTCACACGTATCCGTCTTAATACCTTCCTTAGTACAAACAGCATGCTAGAGTAGTGTAGTCGTGTTTATTTGAGCGTTAGTTTTTTTCGTAATAAAAGAAAGCGGTCCGTGGTTACCTCACAGCGGCTTAAGTGTAAAGTGTCTGGGTGTGTATACTTTATTCTGAAGTCACTTGAAACACTGTGAAATACCGGGTGCGTTTTATATATCATATTTAACACGCTCTGTTGCTGCAAAATATCGCCAAATTTCGCAGCAAAATCCCCCGTATAAGATCAAAGGAAGTTTCACCGGTCCACGTGGAGTAAAGCACGCCTATGCGTGGACATAGCCAATGAGAAAGCGTGTATTTCAGAGCTCCGAACAAGTGCAGGTGGCTACTGAAAATTGAAACAGTTTAGCCAGTGCCATGTAGCGGAGAATAAACGTGTTTTCTTTAGTCTGTCCGTGTTTTTTCATAGATTTATTAGTTTGTGTGTTTTTGACTTTTGAATACTCAGTTTTACTTGTTGATTTAATTGTTGTGTTGATTGTTCTTGTGTGTCCTAAATATGGCTCTTTGGAGACCTTGGGAAAATGCTCCAAGCCACGAGGAGATGGTTGATGAACCTGTGCAGGCAGAATTCTTTCATAAAGATTTAGAGGAACAGACCCAAAGAGTAATCCTAAATATGTATGATTGTCTGAAAAACGAAAATCCAGATTCCTCGCAAAATCAAATTTTAAACAGAATTTGTATCCTGACAAAAATCAGTCGGTCTACCATTTATCGGGTTATAAAAAGGGGAGATGTAGTCAACCATTCCTTCCACAGAAAGCGCATAGGGCAAAAATTAAAAAGAATAGAAGGAAGATATCGTCGTTTAATATACGGATTTTATAAAGAAAATTTGGTGCCCACGTTGGAAATGATACGGGATAAATTAAAGATTATCCTGAAGATTTTTATAATTACAAATGCTTAGACTCACTGCACTGTATGTAAAACTGTGTGGTTTTCAATACAAAAAATTAGATAAAAGAACGGTGATTATGGAGTCGTCTCGAATCGTTGAATTGCGCCAAGAATTTTTGCACAAAGTTAAAATCTATAGAGAGCAGAAAAGAAATCTGATTTACCTAGATGAAACGTGGTATGATACCCATGATGTTGTGCAGTACGGCTGGGTTGACGACAGCAACAAGTGCATTTTAAATGCACCATGCAACCGTGGAAAATGAATCATTATTCTCCATGCTGGCAGTGAAAATGGATTTATACCTAATGCCTTGCTGTTATCTGCCAAAAACATCAAAGAATCATGTGCCGTCTATCATGAGGACATGACCTCCGACTTATTTGAAAAGTGGATAGAGCAGCAGTTAATACCAAACATTTCCCCAAATTCAGTGATTATTATGGACAATGCGCCATACCATTCCCGACAGAAAAACAAAAATTCCGAATACAGGCACAAAAAAACAAGACATTATTGATTTTATGAAGGATAAGGGAATGGAAATACCAAAAAATCAACCAAAGCCATATTATTGGATCTTATTAAAAGACAAAAATTTGAAAAAGAGTATGTTGTTGACAATCTGCTTCAGCAAAATGGCCATGAAGTATTACGTCTACCTCCCTATTACTGCATTTTTAACCCGATTGAGTTGGTCTGGGCTGCTTTAAAAAAAAAGTAAGAAAACATAATCAGACCCCTCAATTAAGTGAATCGCTATTGGCCACAATAAGAGATGCAGTATCTCATATTGCTGCCACAGACCTATGGAAGCAGTGTTCTAGGCATATTATTGAAAAAGAAAGTGAATATTGTGTTTTCCCTCCTGTAAATCCCGTTGTAATTCCTCTACAAGATGACTCTAGCGACAGCTCCGAAGGCGAGGATGATATATAAATACCTATAATGTAAGTCTTTATATACCTACCTGCTATGTCAATATTTGCCTATGTCAAACGTTGGAATTCTGTAATTTTTCCATTTCTTAACTTTCAGTCAACATACATTAAACACCCAATATAAGTATTTTTTATGCCAAATCAAAAAAATAAGAAGATAGTAAAATCCATTTATTGTGATATAAAAACATTATTATTATCGTTCTAAATAAATGACCGCACGCCTATGATACGTCATGAAATTACAAAGGACGCGCCGACCAAAGGTTTTTATGCTGTTTCAAGTGACTTCAGATAAAGTATACAACATTTTTGTATTGTTAATAAAAATGTCGAAGCCAAGGTCATGCGCATGCTGGAATCACTAGACTCAGGTGTGGAAATGTCCGACCAAGATGAAGATTACGTTGAAGAAAGCGAACATGATACCGATTCCGAATTAGATCTAGAACCGAATGAAGAGTTTGATCCATCCAATAATCAATCAGTACAAGTGAGTGACAACCACTCATCGGATAACGAAAACTCGAATTATTATTATGGTAAAAACCGTTTTTTAAATGGTCTTATACGGAACCAAAACGAAATATCCGAACTCCAGCACATAATATTTTAAAATTACCTGGAATTCGTGTTCCGCCAAATGAAAATGAACTTCGACGGAGGCGGAGAGTACTACCCATCCCAAAAACGTCCGTCCTCTCTGCCGCACCCTGTACAAGCATCCTGCGTAGAATATAAAAATTGAGTAATTTCATTGTGACACGTATGGCAGCCATATAACGCTTTTACGTGATGCATTGTCAAACAAGTTTCAGTAACTGGAGTTCGCGTACCATGGAAACATTCACAAGGTGCATGACCTGACAGAAGCACACTGAAGCATGAAGACTCAATTCCAAATTACGTTTCGGCAACTCTACCCGATGCTATGTAGAACCTCAAAATAAGTTTGATCAACAAAGATAGGCTATACGAGATGGTTGTTAGACCAGCAATTACTCCAAAGCACATATGCGTCGTCTGCAGGTTTTGCAGAAAAGAACCTTGAGTACTGCCAGGGTATGTCGCCAATGAGACCCTTCACGGAGACCTCGACATCGCTTACCTAAAGGACTACATCAAAAAACAGGGGCAGTAACGATATAGTCAAACAGAATAGCAGAGCAACCATCAGTAACTCTCCTGTGTGTAGTCACACATTTGAGTATACCAGACCGCGGCTTGCACTGCGAACAAAATCATATTGTGCAATGCTACGTCCAATCGAAATTACAATTTTTCCCATACATATAAATTCCTAAATAAATTTTTGGATCAATTTCAAATTACTGAAGACTAGTTAACAATACCAAGACGCCCCTTTAACTGACGCACTTCCTCCTCTTTGCTCTTTCCCTTCCTTGCTTTCAAAGAGCAAAGGTCCCACGTACCGTTGTAACATACAATGACGAATAGAAAATACAATAGTCATACAGTTAAGAGTAACTTTAAACATATTTGAATTGATTTGGCCAGAAAATCATGGGAGATTAAACAAGCTGTTTATTATCTATCAGGACAAAGCTCCAATAACAGGAACTTAGACAATAAAGAAAAATCATAACAAATATGTACTTGAACCATAGGTGGATAACGAAAAAATATGTAGTTTTATTCGGACAAATGAGGGGGAGTGTCAATATGAAAACCACAAGATAAATTTCCGATGACACAATAAATAGTTTGTTTTGATTCCACGTGTCGGCAACTCACAGCGGGGGCCCAGCTCCCAGGGTCGTTCAAATTCATCTCAAGATAAGCTTTTTTACTCATGGAGCAGTTGTATTAACTAAATAAGATACGAGAGATGTCTTTTAAGTTGTGCATATAGAAACATAGTAGGCCGCGCGGATCGAATGTCAGTACTGAATCTTAACCTCACTCTTTAGTAAACTTAAATTCAAAGTTTCACCCAGGAAAACGTCGATGCTGTGCGCAAACTCATCATTGAAGATAAACATGTGACATATCGCGAGATTGAGGCGTCCTTGAAGATCTCAAAGACAGCAAATCAAAAAAATTTAAATGAAGAATTAGGAATAAGATAATTAGTTTCTCGTTTTATATCCCACCTGTTGACTGAAGAGCAGAAAGCAGCCAGGGTTAATTGGTGTCAAAAAATGCTTGGCCGTTTCAATTCCGGAAACTCAAAAAATGTGCATTGCTGGTGGTGATGAATCGTGGATTTACTGTTATGAACCAGAAAATAAACGATAGTCGGCTGTTTGGGTGTTCCAGGGTGAAGAAAAGCCAACAAAAGTCATCCGTTCTCGAAGTGTTTCGAAAAAGATGGTCGCGACATTTGTGTCAGAAGCAGATCATATTGCAACAATTCCCCTTGATGAGCTAAGAACTGTTACTGCGGATTGGTATACTACCATTTGCTTGCCAAAAGTCATCACCGAGCTTCGAAAAATCAACCCCGAAAGAAGAATCATCCTCCACCAAGACAATGCAAGCTCGCACACAGCCCAAAAAACAAGGCAGTATTTAACGGAAGAAAACGTGGAATTATTGGGCCATCCTCCATATAGTCCCGACCTAAGTCGATTTCTTTACTTACCCGAAAATTAAAAACAGACTGGGTGGTCAAAGGTTCCAGTCACCAGAAGAAGCAGTTGACGCATTCAAAAATGCCGTTTTGGATCTGCCAGCAAGCGAGTGGAATAAGTGCTTCGAAAATTGGTTCGAGCGCATGCAGATTAATGTACAGGGTCCGGCAATGAAGTATGGTGTTTTTGCAACGACTATTACATGCAGCACTGTCGAGCCAATGTTTTCACGATGATTGATATCTTACTCGTTCCGCGATGCCATTTTAGTAGCCATGGAGCCGTGGTCTGTGGCACATCGCGTGTTTATTTACAACACTTTTATTGAAAGTGGTCGTTCTGTTGTGCTCACACAGCGACGATTTCGAAACCATTTTAACGTTGGTCGGCATGGTCGCGTTCCAAGACGCGATTACCATTTTGAAGTGGGTGATAAATTTTCAAACAACCGGATCGTTGAGACCTGGTACTGCAAGGGGAGAGATCGAACAGTGCGAACTCCGGAAAACATTGAAAGAGTGCAACAAGCAGTGGATACTACCTCACCTTTCAGCGGTACGTCACGCTCGCGCTCTTAGGAATGTCAGATCGTTCAGTTCGCAGAATCTTGCATTTGGACCTCCATTACCATCCATATAAAATTATGGTTGTGCAG